CAAAAAATCACTCTGGGCTGAAATTTACTATCCTAGACTTGAAATCATTAAAAAAGGTCAAAATACAGAAAAAACCAAACCAAAGCAAACACAAAACAGTGGTTTCAGATGATTTCTGGCACTCCTTTAATGTAAAAGTGGTTTTCTTTTATTTTTTAAGCCTGAGAATCATTACTATGAAATATTTTCTTAACCAAAATTGGGACCAGGTTATTTTAATAATGATTTGCCAATAAGTTGCTATCACCGAATCTTTTGAAAGGCTTTTCAGAATGAAGAGATATCATCATTTTCAAAGGAATGTTAATGCTGTGACTTAACCCCAAACGCCTGGAAATTAGGAGTGGAAATTTCATCTGCAAGCCACACAGATGCATTAAAAATGTTTAAAAAAATTAACAGTGCATGTCAAAGATGCAACGTCAGCCCAATTTTTATCCATAACCAGAGCTCATTAGCTTTGTGGATTTAAAATTTACGTTTAAGAATAAAGGCCACGTATATCTTAGGGTCTTAATTCAGCACTCCTTAAATAAGCAGTCATTTCAATGTATGTAGAAGGCTAACGCCCTTCCAAAGTAAGTTAGGTGCTGACGTTACTCAGCTGCATTTCTCTATCACTCTAAAGATTTTGCATTCCTGATGGAAGTCATTTCTTCTGCTGAGTCCTGCCTGCAAATTCTAATGAGCACATTTAGGGCTACTAAACACAGCCCCCGAGGAGACGCTATTGTTAAAACAAAGAAAGTCGCATTTTTTAAAATATGAAATTATGCAATTATTAGAGGATGTAGGTCTTCAGAAGAGAAGACTTGTTACAAGAGCGTGAGCAGCAAGCCAAATGCACGCAGGGAGCACATGCCAGTCACCCCTGAGGGAACAGCGGGGAGGCAGAGAAAATTAACTGCTGGATTTCTGCTTCCCACCAAAACCACAGAAGGGCCGTTTCAGGGGCCTAGCACATACAGAGCTTTCAGATAAATATATGTCCACCTCATTACCTGAGAAGAGCCCTGAAGAGCACCCTTCTGTGCAGACTATGTCTGCTTCTAGGTGACTAATCTCATTTGCAGAGAGAAGGTGCTGAGCACACACACGCGCGCAGCGTTTGCAGCCGGTTACGGGTGTCAGTCTGGAAGCCGCTCGCCTCTGTCTCCGCACTTGGCCTGCAGTCTTTTGGCACACATTTTTACTACAAAAACCTAACAAACATGCTCGGCAGCCAAACCACCTCGAGCTGTTTCTTATCAAATTTCACAAGCTGAGCGGGTTCCAGTCTGGTCGATGTGTAGATGGGAGATGATTATATGAAATTAGGCTTTGCTGAAAAATGATGACGGTGGCTCTGGAGCATCAGGAAAGGGCAGGGCTCAGCTTTAAGGACATACAGAGATGACTGGGATTCAGGCAGCTGCTGGTCTCACCCAAGATAGGGTTGCTATACCTAACAAAGCCAGGAGAAGTGCAGTAAACTTCCATGGAGAACGTTAAATGAAAAATGGGACCCTAAAGAGCTGTGAGATTTCAGAATTCTTTCACTAAGATATTTGTATTTATACAAGACTTTGTATTTATATTTGCATGCTGGCTCAATGGCTTATAAGATGTGCTCTCTCCTATCTAAATCTGCAGCACCCTGGACTTCTACCTTGTGCTACTTATGTGTGTTTCCATAATAATATTGCCAGACTTCTGGCAATGAGCAAGGAGCAACTGCAAATCTCCAAGCACTCATGGGGATCAGACCCCAGCACTCTTCTTGTCGGCTTTTCTATCTGAATGTGGCCTTCTAGAGCAGAAGGCTTGAGCTTAGAATCATAGCAAAAGCTTGAATGTCACTAAGTGCCTGGTCACGAGATAAAACTTAGGGGGATGCGTTGCAGAACTCCACAGTACTAAGCCTAAAATCAAAAAAGGAAACTAATAGGGCAGCCACCCAAACACACCTCTGTCTACTGGTCAATGCTATGCAAATGGCACTAATGGAGAATAGGACAGAAAAAAAAAAGTGAAAAAAAAGGTACGTAAATAAATGCATCCTGATTGACACTGCAGATAGTTGATGGAACAAAAACCAAAAAGCACTGCTAGAAGTATGAATAGGGAAGTTCATCAAGGTGAGGAAGGAGACACACTGGATAAAAGGAATGAGCATGTATCTGTTCTGAAGCTCAGGAAGAGGCAAGAAGGGCAGCTGGGAAAAATGCTCAGCGGAGACAGGAAAAAAGAACCACAGCAAAGCTCAGTTTCCAGTGAGATGCTTGAATGGTTTATTGAATCTGAAAGAGGAGCAAGGCAGGTGCCTTCCAGTAACTCGCAGTCATATCTGAACAGAAATTCTGATGATGAAGGGGGAACTATCAAGCTCTTGGTTGGGAACACAACATAACAAGACAGATATGGTGCAAAAAAAGTGTGTGTGTGTATTTACACACATATGTGTATACACATCCATTATAAATATATATATATATGTATATACAACCATTTATCTATTTTAAGCAGAGGACTAAAATATTTTGGCTTTTATTCTCACAACTGAAGAACTAGTGCTCCTTGAGTCTAAGTAAAGAACAGCCTAAATGATGATTTTAAATGTAGGAAGGAATTAATAGGTTAAAAGAAAATTTAACATTGAAACAAGAGATAACAAGAGGTAAGAGATGAAGAAGAAAGTGGGATTGGGGAAAATTGGTTCTTTACATTAGTGCACCCTATATGGCACAGTGTGCTCAGAAAGACCACATGGGAACTGGAAATTAAAGCAAGGATTTAACATCAACCCTCATTACATTCTTTTAGACAATCTAAGGAGAAACATTCACTTTAGCTTCTGAAATCAGCTCAACCCAGTTGTTTGCACTTCAAGCACTTTGCTAGGGGTACAAATCACCTTGCTAGTGGTATTACCATATACATTTGTACATCAAGGTATCACGTCAGGCAAAAACACATATATAGGCTGCCTATCTACAATCAACCTGTTGGCTCTCCTGGGCTCCCGCTGCAGGCAGTGCATAGAGGGAAAGAAAGAGAAACGCAGCCACTGCATGACTCACGGCACCTCTTCTGTATATGTTATAGTCATCAAGGAGAACAAAATCCTACGCCAAGCAAACACTGGCAATATTTCCGTAGTTATCAGAAGAATCTCAACACTTTCCTGAGATCCAGAAAAGCTTTTAGGATGACAAATATGGAAATTCTGGGGTGAGGCTGCTGAAACGTAACTCAGTTGTGAGTTAATATAACAAAATTCTCCAAGAAAGAAGATCTGTTTTATATACGAATTTTGCTACTCGGCTGTTACAAAGTCTGATCTTGGAATACAGCCTGAATGTGGAACTTGAAACAGAGAATTCAGAATGTGGAACGGGGAAGCTGGTATTATTTATAACCTGGCAAGCAGGAGTCCCAGAAACTAGCCAAAAAAAGCTGGTCCTCCTAACTACAGGTAAAACAACATTTTGAATATTTTTGAATGTTTGAAAAATATATAAAAGTATTTTAGTAGACTGCATTAAAAATAAAAAAGTTTGATGAAATGTGTTTCAAAGAGTAGATAGTTAACCAGTGTTCTTGACAGAAATGTGAAGTTATAGTACCTGACTAGTACATAGCCAGGCCCTTCTCAGTAGGGATCAAACAAAAAGTTAAGTAAAATAAAGTAAAATAAAGTAAAATAAAATAAAATAAAATAAAATAAAATAAAATAAAATAAAATAAAATAAAATAAAATAAAATAAATAAAAGCAGTAATTCCTTGACATCTTTATCACAGGAAGTGAAGTAGTTTGTTCCAAATATGAGATAATTGAGAAAATTTTACTTCTAGAATTTGCCTTATTGCATTAGGACTTTATCATTTAGGTGTCCTCCACATGCTTCACTTTGTCATAGGCAGGGTCCTACCAAGCAGTCTACCCACTGCACAACTTCCAGACAGCCAGTCACAAGGACAGCTCCAACTTTTCCATTTCATCACTAATTCTGGAACACTAAATAACTTATGGAAACCATATGGCATTGCAGCTTATCAGGGCAGGGATGCTCACGTTATTATTTCCTACTAAAAGGAATATGTTGAGTCCGTTTATTACAAAATAGCATAGATATGCATTTGTCTTTTTAGAAGGAAGTATCTGCATTTAATCTGAAGTTCATCAGACTTTATGGACAAGATCTCTGCCTAATGTAAGCCAGCCTGATGTACATGGGCCAAGAGATCTGGTTCAACACAGAAGGCAATTTTCAATTTCTTTAATCAGTGCAAAAATGTGTACTTTTCGTACCTGGGAAAACCAGTAAAAGATGTTTTTAAACAAAATACAGACCACATATATATATTTGTATGTATGTATGTATATCTTTTTAAACTTAGCTTCCTAAAGGAAACTGAGCCTCTAGGAAGTCAGGAGTTGAACACTACTCCCAATGCACTCTTGATAAATTAAATTTCTGGGCTAACTTCAATCAAAATTGTAAAGGCTTCACAGTTCATGAAAACCACTGGGTAGACTAAGCAGAAAGTTAATAATGCCAATTAAGAGAAAATGAAAATGGTCAACATTTATTCATCCCACAGCCTTTGTGGAAAAAAAGCTAGTTATGAATTCAGTTAAAAAATAAAAGGAAAGAATAAAAAAAAATGGAGTGCACTTTTGACTTTATTTTACCCCGGCACTGTACCACGTCAGGAGCTCTATTACTTTTATATCAGGGATCTTGCCATATTTAGTGCTTTCTCTCAAGATCGATTTCCTTGCTTAATAATCTTAGCTTCCATCTTTAAAGTTAATGTTCACTGTAATTTGGGGAACAGTCTGGATGCAAACGCCCGCACACATTTTAGATGTTAAAAACCAAAAGGCAAACAGAAGAAGCCCCAAGCTTTGCTGTTTTGCTCACCAGAGTGGTTCTTCCCAGCGCTTCCCGCCGCGCCAGAGGCGCAGAGCAAAGCCGGAGCGGCTTTCCGGAGGAAGGAGCGAGCCGGTGCTTACCTGTAGGTGTGCTACTGCGGAATGAAGAGGATGGAGTGATTGGAGGGGTGACGGGGGGAGTAAGGCTTCCACTGCTGTGGCGAGGTGGAGTAGATACATTCCCACGGGACACTGTGCTTGACAAAGTCAGAGAGAGTTTCGGCTGAATCTTTTTCTTCAAAGATTCCTGCTCGCGTCGAGCTGCATCGGTCATAAATCTAGAACAAGGGCAATCACAAGGATGAGAGGCCTGACACGCTGACAGCAAGCAAGCTTAGGTAAAGGCACAATAAATATTTTTTGCTCTCAGGGACTGAAGCGAGCTTCAAACTCAGCTACGACAAGCTCTCTGCAACACACATATATAGATTACAAACTCCTCCACCAACAGCTTATTCACATCGAGTTCAAGATCTGGGGCATTTGCTTCCAATTTTGAGATGATTTACTTTAGACCACTGCATCATGCACACAAACTTTTTAAATCTCCAACCAGAGTTGAACAGTGCAAATGGTGTTATGGCAACTACTGCAAACCTTCAGGAAAAGGCAGCCGAGTAGCTATAATGGAGACAAATGTTGGTGGCAAACATGGAATCTGAAGGTCAGA